CTGGTCCCACCTGACTACATGCCCAAAGTATGCGAGACAGAGTCTCAAATTCCTTGCCTCCAAGGAACAGCTCAGTTTCACCCTCTCTAGGACAAACCTGTTCATTCTCATGGCTGTCCATGGTATGTTCAATACTCTTCTCCAGCATCACAGCACAAAGGCATCAATTCTTCTGTCATCTTTGGTCATTGTCCAGCAGGTCTCTGTTAACTCTGACAGAGAGCTCTGGTGGCCTCATGGTAAGAAGCTGTACTGTAAGCTCAGAGGCACATGGTTAAAACACACCAGCTGCTTCACGGGAGAAGGATGGGTGGTCTTCGGAGTCTATGAGTTGGTTCTGACTCTCAGCAGAATAGTACACAATACCAATGGTACACAACAACAACAGCATTAACTACAATAGTGTCAATGTCGAAATCAACGGAGGGTTCACAGCCACACCTGTGTATATGTGTGTGCATCTGTAAATACATGTACACATAAACATGTGACTACCTACATAGTCTTTTCCATTGTGTCGTTGGGTAATTTCCTTGTCCTCTTCAATCACATGAAAATGTTTCTTTACACGTCACTCCAACATTCAGTATATATTTGACATATAGAAAGACTGTGCTTTTATTTAAATGAAACCAGAAACTGGTCCTGCTTTGTTGTTGCTGTTGTTCAAGATTATTCCCTAGAAAAAAATATTCTTTTGACACTACTGGAGGAATATTCCACATAGTAAATGACAGAATCCAACCAAACGTAGGCACACACACACATACAACTTCCAGCTCTCAAATGTCCTGTGAATCACACCTTCATTTTCATGGGGCCACTGAGTAGCAAGTATCTTAAAATACTCATTTTTTTCCCTAGAAATTGTCATTGAATTTCAATTTATGTTGAGTGACAGAGAAGAAATAGTTCATCAAAGCTTACACCGGCATGATCTGAGAATTCCAGGCAATCACTGCGTTTTGAGACCTAGTGAGGGATGTTAAGCAGAGAACCAAGGTTTTAGGAAAAGTGAACCACTCAAGAATGGGTCAAAAGGGTATGGAATACCAGTAACTAAGGTTTTTTAAAACACTTCTAATACTTCAAAACCTGGATTTTCATGTAAGCTAGAGGGGAATGAATTCATTCATCTCCCCCTTGATTTCAGTGATCATCGTAGCTGCAAGGCAGTAAGATGGCCAGTCTCCTCCCATGTCCTTTACAGCCTTGGTCCTCTGACAGTGAACTTGAGAAGTCATATAGGCTCACGACCTTCATGCCTCAAATACAAAAGACATTTGCTGTGACTCCAGAACATTTGAAGACAAAAGAGTTCTATGGACCAGAAGTCAAAAGAATGGAAGTGGCCAAGCTAGTTGGTCTGATAGAGACTGGTGGAATTCAAGTCCTCCGTCACTCTTCCAGCCTAGAACTAAACTCGCCTCAGAGTCACAGGAATCAGCTCCTAAGATGAACAGTAGAACCAGAGAGCTTTCTCCTCAGAGCTGTCGACTATATGAGGTCAAAAGGACAGTTTGCCCAGGGATTACGTTCACAAGGCAGGAGTGGAGGGGCTAGATAGATGGGGGGGGGCGGGGGGGGGGGAGAAGCCAGTAACAGGAGACAGAGGAAGGAAATGCACAACACTGAGAGCATCCTGTGGGAAGTTGGTCCTATTTCAGTACAGTTGCAGCTACTAGAGGGCCAGGGGATCATTCTGAGGGCCCACAGGGATTCAGACAAAATCTCAGCCCCGCTCAGGACTCAGAATGCAGTCAGAGGAGCAGCAGATGGAGTTGGAAAGTCAAGGGGACTCTTGTCTTCATGAAAACGTCAAGCAGTTCCTTGTCTCTTTATGGTCCATTCTAAATATCCCATAAAGACCTGAGGGCTTTATTTCTGCTCCTTTCACAGATTTATCTGTTCAGAAAAGAGCTACCAGGGATCTATCCCCAGAAAGAGACTTTAAATTCTAGTGAATAAACTGATTCTGGTATACAAAGGAAATAATTTTTTTTTTCAAAAAAGGAATGTTGTTGTTGTTGTTGTTATATTCTGTCAAGTCACCTTTGACTCATAGCAACCCTGTGTACAACAGCCCTGAACCCTGCTCTGTCCTGTGCCAATCTCTCTGTCTCTGACACACCTACCTCCATTACCCAAGTCACTGATTCAATCCACCTCATAGAGGATCTTCCTCTCCTGTGAGCTGTCCCTCCACCCTCCCAAGCATGATGTCCTTCTTGAGGGACTGGTCCGATCTCATCCTTGCAATGTCCAAAGTGTGTCAGACATAGCTTCATAATCCTTGCCTCCAAGGAGTAATCTGGTTTAACCATCTCCTGGATGAATCTGTTTGTTTTTCTAGCAGTTCATGATATATTGAATACTCTTCTCCAGCACCGCAGTTCAAAGGCATCAATTCTCCTTCTATCCTCCCTAGTCATTGTAGAGCTCTCTGATGCCTAGCAAGTGATTACAAAGACCATGGACTGTATCAGGCACACCTTAGTCTCCAGAGTGACACCATTGCTCCTCAGTACTTTGGAGAGGTCCCTAACAGCAGACTTTCCCATTGCAATACGTCTTTTAATTTCGTAGCTGCTGGTACCAGGAGTGTTGATTGTGGAGCACAGCAGACTAAAGCTGTTAACAATCTCAATCTCTTCACCATCCGTCCTGATGCTACTCATTGGTGAGAATCTTTGTGAGAAAAGGAATGGGATTGTAAAATCAGTGTATTCACCTGGTGAGACCCCCAACACAGCATTTTCCGAAATGAATCTGTTACAGGCTGCGCTTGTTTTTTGATGGATGTTCCATACCACATAGGTTTACTATTGACTTTTAAATTAATAATAATACCTTATTACAAGCTTCCACATCAGAGGAAATCTGAGTGCTCAGGAGCTGATAAATTCCCATTTATCTCTATATGATCCAGCAGAATGTATTGATTAGGCAGGCCAACTGCGTTTTTATAGAAGAAAATTAAAACAAACAAAATGGGAGCAGAAGGGTTAAACTATCAGCCACAGAAAATCCAGCAAGCTAGCAATACGAACCTAGCAACGACATTCATAAAAACAGCCATTAAAATCTAAAAGTGATTTCTAATTCTGGTCCTTTCCCCAAAACATATGGTCAACTTGATCAACTTTGATTATTCATTTGAAAAACAAAGATGATGAAAACTGTTGAAATTGCTTCAGCATGATTAACAGAAGCTTGGCTTTCTCCTCATTGTTCTGATGAGCTACAGCTCTTGGGCTTTAGACGTCTTTCCTTGTGAGACCACAGGCTTTTTTAGCGGCCTATCTTCATGTCTGTGGAATGCTTTTAAGCCACATGTGTCACACTGAAGTTTATTTTCACATAAGAGAGCAACGGGAAACTGAAGTTGTGATAATGTCTTAGGTATCTAGTGCCACCCTAATGATACCAAATAAATTGACTCTTTTACAGAATAAGAAGGTAGGAATCCAAATTGAAGGTGTGAGATTTAGGTAAGGTCTTCTCATGGGAGCTTTGGTGGCCTAATGGCCAGGAGTTGCACTGCCAACCCAAAAGCAGGACGTTCAAGTCTACCAGCTACTCCAAAGGAGAAAAATGGTCACTCCTTTGCAAATGTAAAGCCTCTGAAATGTGCTGGAGGGTCAGCTATGAGTCAGTTCTTTGAGGGTCAGCTATGAGTCAGTTCTTTGAGGGTCAGCTATGAGTTGGTTCTGGCCGGACAGCCATGAAAGCTATTGGCTAGATGTGAAGTCCTAGTTTCCTTCAGCACTGGTAGACCTGGCATGCCTTGGAGACTTCCATTACCTCCTAGCTCAGGAATCTGGGTCGGAAGGACCTCACTTCACTCCTGGAACATTGTTTTTGGTGGTAATGATGGCGCTCATTCCTGCTTTCTCTTTTCCTCCACTTTCATCTCTTTAAGGTAAAATGTGTTTTAGGCCACAGACCAAAGATATTCCTCTTAAACCTGATGAGGGCTTTAATGGGAATAAGTGTGTCACATTCCACCCATACATACTCTTTTTATTATAACTGCTTGTTTATCACTCATGGTGATCATCCCATAACTAACACATCATATCCTTACATGCAGTTATCTTCTAAGACAAAATTCAGTCCAAGGCAGTAGATGTATGTGATTTTGAAGAACCAAATATTTCTAACCACCCCCCAAGCATGATGTCCCTCTCCAAGAACTCCAAAACACACGGCCCTTAGTCGCCCCTCATTCTGGAACTGAGTTCACTCCCTTAGCTCGACTTTATTTCAAACAGTAAGCAAGTCCATTGCTTACACCAATCAATGAGACAAAATCAAAAAGAGAACTTTGATGACAGATAAAGCTCAGAAGCCAGCGAAGGAGAGGGAAGGGGGGGCTCAATGAAATTGTAAATGAGGCAGGACACTAGGAACAAATGTTGTTACACTGTGGGAACGAGAGTCAATATCATGAAACAAAATATGTATGAACTGTTGAATGGCAAAACAAGGCTGTGTTAAATGAACATGTGGATGTGAAGAGCATCCAGAGGCAATGCAAATGCCCATCCTAGTGTGTTGCTTGTTGACTGCTAACTGAAAGGACTTAAGTCTCCAGTGATTCAAATCCCACAGCTCCCCCATGGGGAAAAATGAGCAGTGTCCCTCTAGTAAAACTTACACCCTTGGACATCCAAAGGAGGGTCACAGAGAGATGGAATCAACACAGTGCCAATTCATTTGGGTTTCTGTGGGTGAGTAAGCTAAGGTGGAACAAGTGAATTATCTCCAGCAGAGCATTAATCTCCACATTTTTGCTGTTCTTACGCTTTGAATATCGATTAGTCCTCTGTAACATAGGTAATAGCTTGTCACCTGCCATGATATGTAAGCACTCAGGTTATCACATTCTATGATTGATGCTAACTAGCAGGTTTCAGCCCAGACGTTTCTAAAATGTCTACCAACCAGCCTTCCTAACCTTTGATTATAACCAGTTTCCTTTTGTTTTCAAACTCCAGGTCTCATTGTCCATGAAGGAGCCGCCGTTTACAGAGTGTTTAAACGCTGGAGAGCTGTTAACTTGCACTGGGATGTCTTAAATTATGACAAAGCCACAGACATTGAAGAAAGTAGCCGAGGAGAATCTTCCACGAGCAGGACTTTATGGTTGCCATTGACGGCTCTACGGAACAGAAACTTGGTCCACCCAACACAGCTCACCTCTCCGAGGTTTCAGTGTGGCTACGTGTTATTACATCTGTTCAATCGCATGAGGCCCCACGAAGACCTGTCAGAGGATAACAACTCCGGGGAGGTTGTGATGAGAGTGACATCCGTGTAGCCAAGTGGACTGCCCAGTGCATTTTGGAATGTAATTGCAATGAATGGTCAAACCATCCAATTCCTAAAAGATAAAAAAAACACCACATCTAGGAACTTTTTAAACTTTATGCTTTTTATATGAACATTTGAATTGCAAATACATTTTCTGAGAAAAAAAAGGAGTCCTCTTGTTTGTTTTCTTGATTTATGACATCTTTTCTAAGTTGATACTTGAAAGCATTATTCATTTCATTTAACTCTTCATGGTTAAAAGAATGATAAGCATTATCCTTGAGACCAAAACTATTTTCTTTCCTGCTTGTTTTAAATATATTTTTATCAAACTTGGTGTTCCACGTGTAGTTTGTCAGATGTGCTGCTAACGGGTAAGAATTGTGTTGTGGACTGATCCCAAAGTGCCCGTCAGGTACAGAAGACAGAGTCAAGTTCAGAATTTCTGCTCACAAACTTGAGTATGGCTGTCTCGCTCTGATGAAGTCTATCTGCCATCAGGAATGCATATTCTAGAACTTATGACCTACTTTTGTATTTTAAAGGAGCACAGTGAGAGCTGCATAAAAACGGGGGGAAAGGCATGTCATAAAATAGTTTCATTGCAATACAAAACCAAGGCAGGATGTCTTATATATTCAAAGTCCAAAAAGGTCACCCAGGTGATGCTGTTGAGTCGATTCTGTGACTCATAGTGATGCTGTGAATAGCAGATCTGAACCTTGCCCTCTCCTGTCCCATCCTCAAACTTTGCTCTCTCCTGTGCCATCCTCGTCATCTCTCATTTGCCTATTGCTGCAGTCACTGTGTCAATCTATCCTGTTGAGGCTCTTCTCTTTCTCCGACCTTCCACCTTTTAAAGCTTGATATCCTCTTCCAAGTACTGTTGTTGTTGTTATGTGCCACCAATCACAATATGCACCACCCTTTGCACAATAGCTGTGAACCCCACTATATCTTGGGAAAATCTGACCATCTTCAACTCACCTGCTCCCATAACTCAAGTTACTGTGTCAGTGCTTCTCATCCAGGGTCTTCCTCTCCTGTGTTGCCCCTCCACCCTTCCAAGCATGATGTCTTTCTCCAAGCACAGGTTGGAGATGGAGATTTAAAATCCTTGTTTCCAAGAAGCACCCTAACTGTACACCCTTCAAGACAGAATTTTTTTTTCCTGGCAGTCCACTAGATGGATAATAATCTTTCAAAAACCATAATTCAAAAGCATCGATTCTTCTGCATCTTCATTGTTGTGATGTACCATTGAGTTGGAACATGAATTGCACAGGAAGAGATTTCCCATCTTTCTCCTGCAGGGGAGCTGATGGATTTGAACATAGGCCTTCAGGTTGACAGTGCAGCTCCTTGGCACTAGGTAAACCATGAGTTACCATCACATGACTTGGACTCACGGGGACCCGTGTGTGTCAGAGAAGAGGTGTACTCCACAAGATTTTCAGTGACTGATTTTTAAAACCTGTCCCTAGAGAAGGACAACTTGCTTGGAAAAGTAAAAGGTCAGAAAAAGAGAGAAGGACCCTCAGTGAGATGGAGCAAAGCCATGATTCCAATGATGGGCATGACAATAGCAGAGATTCTGGGGATGGCATAAGATCAGGTAGGTTTCATTCTGTTGTAAATGAAGTCACAATGTGTTGAAGCCTACTCTATGGCCCCCCGACAACCTCAGCTTGCCAAACCTTTCTTTTGAGGCACTACTGAGTGGATTCGAACCACTAACCATTTGGCCAGTGGGTAAACACATTAACCGTTTGTATCACCCGTGGACACCTCATCATAGCATGGGTAATAGCACTGTCGTTTGTATAATCCTCTAATACAGACTTAGCTATTTTGGTTAAGTGTTATGGCCTTGAATTCCATGAGCACCATCTTAATTAGATTTTCATTTTGTAAAAGCTTACATAACCTACTTAATCATTTGAGCGCCGATCCTATTACCTGGTTTAATGAATCCCTGGGAAATGTATCCACAAGCCTTTCCCTTACTCCAGACAAGCATTCTTTAAATGAAAAGAGAAAAAGAAAAACGAGGCCATTGACGCCCCAGGAACAGGTTGCTAACTAGTTGCACCTGGGGATTGTCCACCTTTCAGTGTCCTAATGGAGGTAATTGGCACATTTTAATGAGCAGTGGCAGGGGAGATGAGGCTGGTATGCGTACCTGTCTGAGCCACGCAAGCCGAAGCTGGGCGTCTGGAGTCATTAATGACGAGGTTTAAAAGCATGGGACTATAAATGTTTCCCATACTATTTTTTTAAGTGACTTTTAAATAAATAATAATGGAATGCTTTCTTTTCATACAAATAGCACACTCTTTTTGTTTGTTTGCCAAGTGTCATGTCCAAAATGGAAGTATTTTCATAATTATTTGTTCAGTAAAAAAACATATGACTGTTGTTAGCTTCCATCAAGATGTGTCCAGCCGACAGAGATCCTGTAACAGAAAGAGATATTCCAATCCTGCACCACGCTCACAGTCTCCGCTGTGCTTAACCCACTGTTGCGGTCAATGTGCCAATCTGTTTGTTTGGGTTTTTTTTTTTATTTAAGAGGAAATCTTATATTAATTTTCAGATTTCTTTCATTAGAGTAACAGTTTACAAGCATTCACTAACATTTTGTTTTATAACATTAATCACAACGTTGCTGTTGTTAGGTATCATTGAGTTGAGTATGATGCATAGCAACCCAGTGGGCAACAACTCTGAACCCTGGTCTACCCTGTGCCGTCCTCAGCATCTCTGACGCACTTGAACCCTTGCAGCAGTCACTGTGTCAATCCGTGTGGTTGAGCGTCTTCCTCTCCTGTTCACCCTCCATAATTACAATCAAGTATGTGATTAATTACAATGTTGAATCAAACCCTTACTGTGTACTGCCTTTCCCTCCCCCCCCCTCAAATCATCCTATAGCAGATTTTTCTCTCCTGCTGCCCTTCTCCTCTACCAAGCACGATGTTTTTCTCCAGACTCCAGTCCCTCCTGATAATATACCCACCATGAGTGGTGAAGTCTCACAATTTCTTCCTTCTATTCTGGCTACCCTTCTTTCAAGTCATATTTGCTCTGGTAGCCCAGTGCTAAGAAGCTATTTTGCAATCCGAAAGGTACACAGTTCAAATCCAGCAGCTGCTCCATGGAATAAGGATGGGAAATCTCCTCTTGTGTGATTTGAAAACTCACTGGAGGGTCAACTATGAAACCATTCTGACTCGATGGCACACAGCACCACCACAATTCAAAGCCAATTTTTCTTTGGGTTCCCCTTTTCAGTCTCACTGTCTAACTTTCACATGTACATGAGGCAACTGAAAATAACCAAAGCTTGGGTCCAGGGCACCTTAGTCCTTAAAGTGATCTCCTTTCTCTTTTTCACTTTATAGAGGTCCATTGCAGGAAATTGCATGAAAAATGCATAGTGTACTTGCCAAACAGATTGGACAGTTGACAAATATAGATTATGTTAAATGTCTAAAAATAAGGTAGTTAAAGTACTTGTTGCAGAAAAGATCAAGGAACAGTCTTCAGTATGGATTGCATCTCAGTGTCAAAAAAACACTGGACTGATAGCCAACATCATGATGGATGGAGAAGAGATAGAAACTGTCAACAGCCTCATCTTACTTGGATTCAAAATTAAACCCTTGGAACCAGCAGTCAGGAAATGATATATTGTACTGGGAAAACCTGCAGCTAGGGACCTAAGTTATTAAGGACTAGTGATGTCAGTTTGATAACTAAGGTGCATCTAATTCAGGCCATGGACTTTCCAATCACTTGGTATGCATCTGACAGCTGGAAAAGAAATAAGAATGACAGAAGAATTATTGATGTCTTCGGGCTGTGGTATTGGAAAAGAGTACATGGACGGCCAAAAGAACAAATTTATCTTAGAGAGGGTGCAGCCAGAGTGCTCTTTGGAGGCAAAAATGATGAGGCTTCACCTCACATACTTAGGATATGTTGCTAGGAGCGGCTATTCCTTGGAGAAGAACATGATGCTGGCAAGAGTGGAAGGTCGGTGAAGGAGAGGAAGAACCTCAACCAGGTGGATTGACATGGTGACTGCCGCAAAGGGCTCTAGTGTGTTAGGAGGTGTGGGGATGGCACAGGACAGGACAGGGTTCAAATGTGTTGTTCATACTGTCGCTATGAGTCATACTCGACTAGATAGTGCCCGGCCACAACAGCATTTACAGGTACCATCATGCTTCCCACATAGAACATTACCAACGCTTGAAATCATAGTTTCCCAGATGGTAACAAAACAAGCTGTATTTCAAAGGAGTTTATAATGCAGTCATGAAATGAAAATCTAACCAATACTTCGGGCTGATCCCAGAACATATTAAACATTCTTCCTCCAAACACTTTTTCTTTATTTTAGCTGCTTCTCTTTGATGGAGGGTTTGGGGTGCATAGTCCTGAGATGTTAAGAGAGAGCTCACAACTACGATCCCATCTCTTCACTGGGAGTCTTAGCTTGTTTACTAGAGATGCCAGGCATGCAAATTGCCTGTCAACGTATAAATCCAACATGCGACCCTTGTAGGTGTGGGTGTGCGTCCTGGGCAGTTAAATCATCGACAGCCACTGGGCAATGGTTGGGGTACCGTTGACATGACACTTTTACAATGCTGTGTGAAGAATACTGGCTCCAGAGACTTCAGACCCAGCTTGGGCTGTGACGGCTCCAGTATTGAGCAAGCCGGCCCTTTTAAAAACCGTACGTCATTGTAGTCACATCAACCAACTCCCAAATGAAAACAGAGAGGGTACAAGTGATGTTCTGTATGGATAGAGTACAAGTGATGCTCTGTACTGTGTAGAAACTTCTGAAGAGGAATGTAGCCCAACCTACTGTCAAGTTAATTCTAGCCCATAACTCCCCTACAGGACAGAGGACAAATGCTCTAAAGGCTTTGCAAAGCTATAATCCTTATGGGAGGGAACTGCAGGCATAGTGATAAGAAGCTGTACTTCAATACCTAAAATAGTCAGAGGAACACGGTTCAATTCCACCAGCCGCTCCATGGGAGAAAGTGGGCAATCTCAGAGGGATTTGCCATCTCCGAAAACCCACTGGG